CCCCCACCCCCAATTGCTAGTTTAAGAATAAAATTCAAGGGAGCTCTAGAGGCCTACTGGCAAGAAGCTGTACTGCAATCCCAGAGATGCGTGGTTTGAATCCACCTTATCCTCTGCAGGAGAAGGAGGAACAATCTCTTCCAGTCAGATCTGATTTGATGGTACAGGCACAAAATATATATAAAAAGAATAAAATTCAAAGAGCAGTGGTAACATAGTTGGCTCTGATTGTACATTGTCAAATATACATGCAACTTAAGTGCTTACAATCCCAGAGATAATGCGGTTTGAATCCACCAGATGCTCTGCCGGAGAAGGGGGGGCAATCTCCTCCTGTACCAGTCAAATCTGATTTGACGGTACACACACAAAAAATAATAATAAAAAAAAAGAAAAGTGCTTAATTTTTGAAGATATAGTAGAGAATCTTGATTGTTTTTCTTTTGCTCTTTGGAATTTTTGCAGAACTAGGTGCTAAAATTTATAAAAACATTTCTGGTTTAACTAGTGACTTCCTAGTACATAAATAAATACTAAATTCACCTCAAATGTTGAATGCCTTAAACAATATGCTGTCATATTTATGTTGGGTTTCTAATTTTTGCTTTGAAAAGGAAATGTACGTTTCTGTTATAGTTATTAAGAACTAGTTGGTTTATTTTACATTTTATTTTTTATTTTTCTTGTTGTGTACCGTTGAATCAGATCTGACTGACACAGATTTCCTCTCCTACAGCAGAGCATCTAGTGGATTTAAACGATGTGCCTTTGGGATTGCAGCACAGCTTCTTGCCACTAGACCACCAGAACTCCCTAAGGACTAGTTAATGGAGCTCTGTGTCCTAGTCCATAGGGAGATGTGCTGCTAACCCACCAGTTTGAATCCACCAGTGAGAGGGAGAAAGAGCAGAAGAGAAACAAGAGAAAGACTACAATTTAGTCTCCTAACAACAGGCTGGACTGTCAGGTATGGGTCAGTTGCAACTTTGCAGGAATAGGTTTGAGATTTTTAAAGTGTTCATGATGTCTTAGCTCCATTAATTTTCATACAAGGAGTCTCTGGGTGAAAACAAGGGCTCAACCACTAACTGAAAGGTTGGCAGTTCAAAACCCCACATCTCTGCCCCAGGAGACAGGCCTGGAGATATACATCTGAAATACTTTTGGGATAACCCCAAGTAGAAATTGACTCTACAACAACTAACGAGTCATTTTCATACTTCCTTAGTTTATTTCAGGTTATCATTTCATATTATAAAATTCTGTGGTTTTATTATATATGCTAATAGATCCTAGATAAGATGGATTGATTCAGTGACTAGGGTAATAGGGTAGGTGTGGCAGGGACAATAAGATTGGCATAGGATAGAGTAGGGTTCAGGGTTGTACATAGGGTCACTATACATAGGGTCACTATGACTCGAAGGTGACTCGATGGAACATAACAACAATACATCTTTCTAGTCACTTTGACTTTAATATACAACAGCAAAGAGAGAGATCAGTTGACCTAGTAGACAGAAAGTGATGCTACCAAGCCAACTTGTATAGCCCTGGTCTGCCCATTTGCTGTACAGAGGCAACTCGTGGTGGCTGTGAAGCTGAACACTGTGATACTGATTTGTCAAATGCGAAAATGGTCACCCATGGTAGTGTTTGGTGGAGTTCCCCTATTAAAACAAGCTTGGAAGCAGGAGTGGCATCCACTTCCAAAATAGTTTGCCTCCAGACCCTATGAACCTGGAGAAGGGATGAAAGTTATACAAGTGTTCAGGTCTTTAGTTCATAGATAGGGTTGCTATGAGTCGCCTACTACTCGACAGCACTTAACAACAATTCTACTTGTAAAGTTAATACTTTGTCACCATCCTTAAATAATGTGTTCTATCTATCCTTGTTTTGAATATTCCCAAAAGCCCTCAGGAAGGGTTTGCTTAACAGGAATTGCTGCCTGTCAAGAGCTGAGCACTGATTATATGACTAGTGTACTGAAGACAAAAGATACCATTGTTAATTTAAAAGTCATGATTTTCTATGGCCAATTCACATACGCCAACTGCCCAGATTTATGTGCAGGATTTGGTCTTCAGTGTTACAAAATCTGATTTCAAAACATCTATTCTAGCTCTTTCCTTGCATTTCTCATATTGTCACAGATTGCAGCCAAGCTTTTGTTCATTTTTATTTTTTGTGACACTTCCACTATCTGAGTCAGAACTTTCACTATCAGATAATTTGACCACATTTCCTTCCACCAGTTCACAGGTGGATTTCAGGTGAGATTAATCCAACAACACCCATCAACAACCCTTTCTTTTTCTGAATTTATTATTCAGTACAGTGGAGGAGATCTAAACAATTTCCAATCTAAATTACTTAGCAGAAAAACGACTAGTACTATACACAAGAGATAATCAGAAGAACAACATCAAGACAACTACTTTCCGTTTAGTGGAGAAGTGATGATGTTGAGAATAGTTGAAAAGCATGTGTATTGACACAAAGCTCAGTGCCATCAAGTAAACACTCTTGGCACTACTCCACTTGTTTTTGAGGCTATAAATCCCAATAATAAGAGGCCTTTTCTTACTAAAGTGGCTGATGGATTAGAATTACAGACCGGCACTATGCTATCTAGGTTCCATAGCATTAATGTTTTTATTGTTAGGTGTCATAGAGTCGACCACAACTCATAGTGATCCTGGAACAGTAGACCTGAACTCTGCCCTATCTGTGCCATCCTCACCATCCTGATATACTTGAACCTGTTGTTCCAAATGTGTCAGTCCATTTCATTGAGGATCTTCCTCTCTGTCCCTGACCTCCATCCACCTTTGCAAGTGTGATATCCTTTTCTCAGGAGTGGCTTCTCCTAACAATATGCCCAAAGTATGTAAGATGGAGTTTCATCATCCTTCACTCAAATAAGGAGCACCCTGGCAGCACCTTCTCCAAGCCATATTTGTTCTCTTGGCAGTCCATGTAATATTCAATACTCCAACACCACAACTCAAAGGCATTGATTCTTCTGCTTATGTTCTTAGTCAGTGCTGAACTTTCAGAGGCATAGGAAGTAATTGAAAAGACCGTGTCTTGAATAGGATGCACCTTAGTCATCAAACTGACATCACTGCTTCTCAGTACCTTGGACAGGTCCCTGACAGCAGACTCCCCTAAAGCAATGCAGTTTTGATTTTTTGACTGCTGGTATCAAAGGTGTTGATTGTGGATACAAGCAAGATGAAATCGCTAAGCACTTCCACTTTCTCGCCATCTGTCATGATGTTGCCTATTTGCCCAGTGGTGAAGATTTTTGTTTTCTTGATGTTGAGATACAATTCATATTGAAGCTGTAGCCTTTGATCTTCACCAAGTGCTTCAAGTCCTGCTCACTTCAAGCAAAGTTATGCCACCTGCATACCACAGGTGGTTGAGCATTAAAGTAGGTGGTCCATTTATTCAGAAAAGTAGATTTTTCTAACATTTCAGCATTTAACATTATAGTTTATATTTGACTGTAATTTGAAACTATTGCAAAGTTGGGCTTCAGCAACACTGAAAATTTTCCTCCCAAAGTGTAAGAAAAGTATAATATAAAGTGTTGGTATAAGTATCCTAAGAAAAAGGAATCCTAGTAAGGCAACCCAGGCTGGCATGCAAACCCTCCCACTGAGAAAGACGTGGCTGTCAGTTTTCACAAAAGATTTCAGCTTTGGGAACTTCCCGGAGCAGACATACTGGATCATAAACAGATTATATGAGTTAGAATTCAGTTGTGGGTAATGGGTTTGGGTTCTAGGAATATGCTTGCCTTTACTGTATCATTTGCCTTTCAATAGAACGCTAAAAACAAAAAACTGCAGTCTACTGTTTGGAGAACTGCAAAAGCAAGTTCTTTTTAAAATAGGTATCTTTTAAAAAGATGTTTTAAATATAGCAAGACACCAATGGTGAGAATGGAATGTAGAGGTAAGTTTGTTGAGGTAATTAACTATCAGCACCAAGTTAGCATGCCTATTAAAAAAACCCCTCATTGACACAATTCAGAATTTTGTTGTTCTCCAGAGATGAGCTGTAGTAGGACTTTCAACCTTAAAGCTTAACTTTCCCACTACATAGATATGATGAATGAGTAGTTTCATGATCTTGGGTCTTTCATTCTGAAACCAAAGGAAGGGCAAAGGATTGTGTGCTGGGGCGGCGAACAAGCTTTAGGAGACGGATTTATGGGGCTGGCCCGAAGAGTTGGCCGGTGCCGAGCACTGTGAAATCTCTTCCAGATTGGAGCAGCACGAGCAAAGCCAAACCTCGAGATCCAGCCAGAGCGGGGAATTGGACTCTGGTTTGCACCACATCCAACAGACGCCCAACAATTACAGGCGCTTACTAGGACAAAACCTTCCTCCCAGGAAAGAAGTGCGGCTTCCCCTGTGAATCCCGCCTTTTCCAGGAGGCAAGGGAGAGAGTGCAGCGGTGGGGTTAATGCCTCCGTTCCTCCCTCTGCACGCACCCTTTTACCCTCCAGGCCCGCCCGCGCCCGGCCTCCTTCGGGGCGGGGAACGCGAACCCAGGCTCGTGGGCGGAGGCGGGGCGCCCAGCAGCCACACAACCACCTCCCGCGGCCTCTTCCGGGACTGGGCGGGCCCTGAGCGGGCCCTCTGGGGGGGGGGGTGTGGCCTCGTGGGCGGGGTCATCGCTGGCCGGGCGGTGCGTCTGCGCCCCGGGGCGGTGCTTGTAGTCCTGTTTGCTGCGCCCGCCCACACTCGATTCTCGCGCTGGACCTGGAATCATGCTGCGGTCGCGCGGGGCTCGCCTGCGGCCTTACAGTCGCTGGGTGCCGGTCGGCCTCCTCTGCCCTCAGCTCTTCCAAGCTGCTCTGGGCCTTAGACCGCGAGACCAGGGGTGGCCACTTGGCCGAGCTGTGTCTGCAGGACGCGGGCAAGGTTGGCTGCAACCTACAGGCCATGATACGGGCGTCAAGGTCTACAACAGTCTCACCAGAAGGAAAGACCCTTTAATAGTGGCCAACGCGGAAGCCGCCTCCTGGTAGCGTTTTGACACTTTCAGGCAGTTCGGGACAATTCTTGGGCAGATGCGGGCGAAAGCTGTAAATTTAATATTACTGGATGGCTAGACTTTCTGCTATTGAAAGCAAGGCTGGGTTCTTACATGGCTAACATTGTTAAAATAACTAGAGACATTAGAGCCATTGGGGTATGTTCAAAATGGAATTTATGGGTTTTGGTTATGAATTTATAGATGGATGAAAGTAGTCGAGAACCAGTTAACGAGCTTTCAAAAAATGGTCCTTTCAAAATAGGACAAAATACAGCAAGATGATTCTGATTCATACTGGGAATGTAGTATTCTCTTGTTGATGTCTCACCAAATGGATTTTGACTTTGTTCCCAGGTATAGTTGTGGACCCACCGTATATGATCAGGCACACCTTGGCCATGCTTGGTGAGTTTCCTGAATTTGAATTTTCACCTTTTAGGGAATGATGATTTGCTTTTGAAGAAGTGGCCGTTTAAAATTTTCAAAGAATTAATGTGTACCAGACATTGTGGTGTTATTGTTCTGTGCCCTCAAATCGGAACCGGCCCATAGCTGACCTTCCCGCAGGTTTTCAGAGGTGGTAAATGGCACGGAAGAAGGTGCTCCCCCCATCTTTCTCCTGTAAAGCAGTTGGTGTATTCAAACCCATGTCTTGGGTTGGCAGCATAACTCCTTACCACCTAGTAATAAGCACTGATGCTCATTGCATAGGTGAGATTCAGTGAGGAAATGTGGAGCGGTAAGAAATAACCTGTTTTGGAACTTTTAATTTGTTCATTGATTTCAGAGAGCTCTGGTAATATAGTCAGTAGTGAGTTGTGCTGGTAAGTCAAAGGCTACACATCTCCAGCTGTTCAAATCTAGGAGCTTCAAGGGAGAAAAATAGACTAGCTCCTCCACATGCAATTCACAGCCTTGGAAACCTGAAGGAAGGTTGCTATGAGTCTGAACCAACTCTATGGCAGTGAATTAAGATCAAGGAATGTAGCCTTCAGTATAGATTACATCTCAATTTTAAGAAAACAAAATCCTCATCACTGGGCCTTAGGCAACATCATGATAATGGAAAAAAGAAATTGTCAATGATTTCATCTTACTTTAACCCACACACAGTCCACACCCTTGGTACCAGTAGTTAGAAATCAAAAGATAATGTTACACTGGGAAAGTCTAGTCAGGGACCTCTCCAAAGTGCTGAAGAGCAGTAATGCCAGTTTAAAGATGAAGGTGTGCATGAACCAAACCAGTGAATAAAGACAACAGAAAAAAAAAATTGATGCCTTAGAATTGTGGTGCTGGAGAAGAGCACCACATATTCCCTGAACTGCCAAAAGAACAAGCAATGTGGTGAAACTTAGTCTTACATACTTTGGGCATCTTGCTAGGACAGGACAGTCCTTGTCAAAAGATACCATATTTGGAAAAGTGGGGGGTCATTGAAGGAGGCAAAGGCCCTCAATGAAATGGTTGAGAAGATGACTGTAACAGTGGCCATAACTCTCCCTGTCTGCCTCCTCTGATCCTAGTGGCCACTAATAAACTTTGGTTTCAATGTATTGTCTATTCTAGATATTTCATATGAGCTGGAATTATATGCTCTTATTTTATTACTCTGAGTCCTGCTTGTTTCATCTTGAAATGGAGATGATAACAATACCTATCCTTTTGATTCACACAATCTTATAATGGCAGTAAAGTGCTGTTTAACCCATTACATGATGTTTGACTCATTTTAGAAAATAAGTAATTACTGGGTACTGTTTTCATTGGAAGGAGCCCTGGTGGCATAGTGCATTACAAGTTGTGCTGCTAACTGAAGAGCCAGTGATTTGAATCCACCAGCTGCTGTGCAGCAGTATGGCCGCCGTCAGTCTCTTCCTGTGAAGATTTACAGCTACAGAAACCCAATAGAGGCTTGCAGTGAGTCAGAATTGACAATGAGTTTGGTTTCTTTTCATTGGCATATAAATGACTTGGCCGAGGCCAGCCACTTAGAAAATGTTGGAACCCAAGTTTATATGACTGCCAAATAATAGTATATGTTATCTTGGCCCCTTAAATTAAATTATACTGCGTCCTTCATTTATCATGATTGCTGCTTTTCATAATATTTTGTAAGTTCCCAATGAACCCAGCCTAAAAGAAACTTGCCTTTCATTCATTTATTCAGTATACTTTTAAAAAGTATTTTTGTCATTCTGTAGGAGCTAAGCTTCTTTTTGTTTTGTTATAAATGATGTAGGAGTTCAATTTTTTTCTCCCTCACTTGGGTTAACTTAATATTAATATTAGAAAGCTTATTTTTAGCCTCTTTACTGAAGTATAAAATACAGAATAGAGTACAGATCTTATGTCTCTAGCTGAATGAATGAATGAATGCTCACAGCACTAAAGGCAAGAAGCAGAACATATCTAACACCCTAGAATCGTCTTCGTGGTCCTCTTTGATCAACACCTGAGGGGCTCCAGTGACCTAGTCCATAGGGAGTTGCGCTGCTAATCCAAAGGCAGCATTTCTTTGGCAGTTTGATTCCACTAATCAGTTGGTGAAAGATGGTCAGTCTCCTTCTATGGGATTTATAGCCTCCCCTAAACCTTGGAGGGTCTGTGATGAAGTGTTGCCATTTTTGTTTTCAAGGCGCACTCTGTATGCACTTTCTCTAAGACATAAATGTTTGTTCTTTTGGCAGTTTATGGAATAGTAAGTACTCTTCTTTAGCACCACAACTCAAATGCATCGATCTTTTTCTGTCATCCTTATTCATTGTCCAGCTCTCAGATGCATAGCAAGTGACTGGAAAGACTTTGGCTTAAAATAGGCGCACCTTAGTCTTTAAACTGACATCATTGACCTTCAGGACTTTGGAGAGGTCCTTGACAGCCGAATTCCCCAATGCTCTACGTCTTCTGATTTCTTGACAGCTGGCAGACACCCAGGGTGTTGTTTATGGACCCAAATAAGAGGAAATCATTGATGATTTCAATCTTTTCTCCATCTTGATGTTGTTGATGTGTCTTCTTCAATTGTGATGCCACATTTTTCTTCTTAAAGTCTAACTTCTCTAACAATTTGCTCAGCATACAGATTGAATGGATATGGAGAAAGGATACAACCCTGACACATACCTTTTCTGATTTTAAGCCATTCAGTATAGGACTATACAAATGTGTGGTGTTTGTAACCCTCTTAGGGGATTAAATAGCTCCCTAAATGTTAAGTCTTTTCACAAATGTAAATAGCTCCCCTTGGGTGGTGGTGGTTGATATATGGTGTCAAGTCACCTGTGACTCATAGTAACCCCAGGTACAAAAGCTCTGAACACTGTCCTGAGCCAGTCTCACTGACTCTGATACCCCCTAATTTCATTAGCCTAGTAATCATGTCAATACTTCTCATGCAGGGTCTTCTCCTGCGCTGTCCCTCCACCCTTCCAAGCATGATGTCCTTCTCCAAGGACTGGTCCCTCCTGGCCACGTGGTAGGAATGTGCGAAACAGCTGTGTAGAACACTAATGTGGAGATTGGTCGGTTTTGTTATCCCATCAACCTTAAACTGAGAAGGCACAGAGGGAGAAAACGACAGTCTCATTACCATTGAGAAAGAAGCTGCAGAGAGAGTAATATATTTTCGGGATCAGAGATTTCAGCTCAAGACAGAGTGAGACCAAGAAACAAAGTGAGACCAAAACAGAACAGCTCAGAAAGGAACAACAGCAGTGGTAGGAGCATTTCATAATGCATGCTTTGGTTAGGTGGTATATTAAGGAAGCAGTAGAGTACAACTCTGAATCAGCGTCAGGAAGCACGCAGGCAGATGGAGACTTCCAACCCTGATGAAGACAGCACATTCCTTCTCTAGTGCAGGGGTGCTCTCTGAGTGCATCTTGGCTAAGCAGGCCTCCTCTTTGCCTTTTGAGGACAGGCTTCTTTCTTCCTGTTGGCCGTGGCATCTGTCACCAATGGCACTGTCATAGGGTCCCTCTGTGCAAGCCATTGCCTGCTTTGCTCCTGGGCTCCTGGACTTCTCTCTGCTTTCAGTTTTAGAGTTCTTGTACCATGTTACAGCTCTTACAAGTCCCTTGTCTTTTCTCTCTCTGCGTCTTTTTTCTTCCTTTTGCTGTTGTTTGCCCCTGCTTTTCCTGCTTTCTGTCTGAGAAACTCTGTGAGTTGTCTGCATATATACACAATTCTTTGTGAATTTCAAGATATCACCCCACCTTGATGAACAGAAATTGACCATTCCTCCTTCAGAAGCCCACAGACACTTTATTTACATTTTAGTGAAGATTATCCAAAAATGACTGGAATAGCACATCAACAGAGAACTGCCAGAAGTCCAGGCTGGGTTTAGAAGGGGTCGTGGTACTAGGTATATTGTAGCTGATGTTAGATGGATCTTGGCTGAAAGCAGGGAAT